GAAAATAATTGTATGTAACTCACATACATCTAGATATCATATACATGCATATGATTTATCCAACTTCAATCCTTTTGTTTTAAGCCTTTAATCTACCACGTAAACACCCTATTTTTTAGAACTCAACAAATAAAATCTACCGATATGGCTAGTATATATCTTAATATTAATCAGTTGGCGTCATTAGTATTATTAGTTATCATAAGTTAAAAAACTTTTGAGTGATTGTTATAAATTAGGTGAAAGCCATGAGTTATGTAGATTTCACATGAATTTGATAGCATGATATGACATATCTTGAATCGCACTCATTCGGATAGTCATATTTATAAGATTTATAAAGATATGTATATATATATATATATATATATATATATATATATATATATATATATATATATAGAGAGAGAGAGAGAGATTAAGAGAGAGAGAGAGAGGGAGAGGGAGAGAAAGTTAGGCTCATATATAACCTATAAGTATTGTGTAAATGTATGACACGATCTCAGTCAATCATTTGATAATGGTGTAATGGTAATTTGATATATGAATCAAATAATTAATTTCAAATGATGTTCCTATAATTATGGTAACTAATATTAACTAGGAATTTAATTTGAAAACCACCAACAATAAGACCGTTGTAACTTTAGGAGGTTCTTAAAGGGTAAAATTGGATTCTCACGCATATGAGAAAAAAATGAGGAAGAAAAATAGACACAACACGATCGTCGGATTAACGGATTCCGTCTTCCCCCTCACCAAAATCACAATTACTTATAGACACATGTCACCATCATATGACACCTCCTAAATGTCATCTTCACCACCACATGGGTTCATCATCAATACCTTATGTTCCGGTCGCCATCCTCCATGTATGTTTTTACATAACCTTTCGATTATCTTCTTTATTTTTCTCCTTTTCATCTATGATGAATCCACAATCATATCAATCAAAGCCTAAGATTTTTTTACTATTGTTCTACAGAAAAGCCCTAAAACCAACATTCTGCTGTCGTCTCCCACTTCACTTTTGAAATAAAAAATTTATTCCAACAAAGCAAATCTCGGAACCTGGTGTTTGAAGTCAAAAATTTCAACATTATAGGAGATATGAAAATGTGGTGATTTGGAAGCCATTTTTTACATTTTATTTTGTTGTTGATTTGCTCTCATGTCGACTAACGATTTCTGATATTATTGTATTCGATAGATTTTGCTTCTTTTTGGTGTAGATTTTGCTCTAGATTTAATCTGATGGGCCTTGGGGTTTTTTTTTGGAACATTTTAATGTCTTAGAAAAAATATATATTATTTTTCATAACATTCTATCAGTTCGATATTGTGCCCTAGCATTTTTATTGTTTTAATTCCAACATGACACAATGCATCTAGAGATTGAGAAGGTGAAGCATGGTACTTTCTTTGGCCTACCATAAGATCATTTTTAAATCTATGGAGCTTATTCAAATTTGGTTTTGGAAATTTCATGTAGGTTAGGGGTAAGAGTGTATTGTCTTCAACTATTGTTACTGAGAGGTATAAGAGAAATTTGTGAGCTTGTCCTAGTTTGAGTCCACTTTCCTATAATTCTTGTTCTACCTTGAGTTCACTTTCTATTAGTTGATGGTTTATATTATGTATATCTACCATTTTGTTTGAGTTTTACCCTTTCATAGAGACTAGCCCCATAATAAATGGAATTGCATTTTTAGGTTGTGCTAAAGCAAACACTAAATGGTGTGAATGGATTTGAAGGAGGAATTCCTTTTTGTAAACTTTGAAAACCATCACCATTGATAAAGGCATATAACCAAAATCCCCTCTTTTTGGTGCCTTTAAGGAAAGGAAAGAAGGAAAGCCTTTAAGGAAAGGAAAGAAGGAAAATCACACATCTGCTAATTATTCCTTGATTCGTTAGTTCTTTATTAGCATAGAGAGGAGAAACCAACATAAAAAAAACATATGATACCATGTCAATTAGAATCGCATGTTTATTCTATTTTTTTATTATTATTATCAATGTTTATACATGTGAACTTGATTTAGTTAATTATGTTTTCTATTCTTCAAGAATGTTTTGTTATTCTTTAGATAATGTAGCTTATTTCTTTCAAGTTTATTTTTCATTCTTTCAAGAATGTATGTAATTTTGTTTAGGAATTTTTGTTATTCTTCAAGAATGTATCTTGCTTCTTCCATTCTCACGGAATCCCTGTTATTTCTTTCACAAATGCTTACTGATTTTGAAAGAATAAATTAGATTATTATAAATGAATTTAATTTAAGAAGACTAGGATTATGCGAGAATATGCATTCTCGTAGAATATTATGTGTTTCGTATAATTCTACTGATCATTATGATGAAAATGTCCTTTTTTTCATGTTGTAATTGATTCAAAACTCGAAATAAGAATCAAAAGTTATTAAAAATTCACAAATTCTCACATATTCTCACATAATACATATTTTTATATTAGGATATATGTATGTTTATAGAATATGTAATCTTAGAGAATATGTTTCCCTCTTTTTTGATAGAATGCATATTCTTTCAAAGAGTCATTTCCAAGTAATTTTTAAGAATATCCTTATCATGTACACATAAATCTCATATTCTTAAGAATATTTATAATAATCTTTTGTATAAAGTTTTGATGAACATATATATTTAACTGGTGACTAGTTTAATTTTTTAAATTGTTAATTTGGATTATAATTGTTTGAATTTTTATTATTTAATTTGAATTAGTGACCTAAAATGTAGTATTTTTCATTTATCTCTCTTAATTAAATGTTGTATTTGACTTTATAATTAATTAAGGGTAAGTATATAGAACATGTTATGTTATCATATGTTAATATCATGTAACTTAAGCTTATAACCTTTTATTTATTTTAATCTAATGGACAAGAATTGGTCATACATTCACACAATACTTGTAATTCACAAGTGATCCTAACCCTATATATATATATATATATATATATATATATATATATAGAGAGAGAGAGAGAGAGAGAAAGAGAGTATGTGTGTGTGAGTGAGAGAGAGAGAGAGAGAGATATAGGATCGACTGAAGACTCTATTTTCAGCGAGGACTATGAGGCCTAATCGAAGTTGTTCATCTAAAAAACGAGTGGCTATGATTTTTTGCAATTTTTTTATTTTAATTAAAACCGGCGGTGACATTTTTGAAATTATCTCAAACTTTTTGGAATCTTCCTTCAAAGGGTAAATCTTTGAGGGCGTGATCGTCAATTGCAATATAGAAAACCATGGTAGTTATCTCACTCCATTTCCCCCCCTTATTCCTCCTTCTTCTTCGTCGTTTCTCACTGTATCAGTAAGCAATCGATCCTTTAATCCTTTGTCCGAGCTCAGAATATTGTTCAAATCTTCGTTGTTAATCTTCATCGTTGTCTTCTTGCTGTTATGGAAGCAGGTAATTTTCTATTTTTTTAGTTTTTATGTTTTTAAGTCCGTAGGTGCTCTGTTTTTGCTTAATCGAAGTTGTTAATGCTTCGTTTTGTTCTCATATTTTTCAGATTGTTCGATTTCTTCTCGTTGTTTTATTTTTTTCGTTTTTATTATTTATGAAACCCTAGTTCCTTATATATTTCATATTCATGTTTTTTTTTTTTTTTTCTTTGGTTCGATTTTGTGTTAATCGAAGTATTTTAAGTTTTGTTTCTTGTTTTTTGTTGCAGAAATTATTAGATTAGTTGATATTGTTACTCTTAGATATCATATTTTTTATGTAAACGTAATTTTATCAAATTTGCATGTTTATTTGTTTGTTTTTAACATCAAATGTTAGTTTGTTATGTTAATATTTTTTTATGTTGATTATTTACTGTGTTCTATCGATTGGGTTTCATATATTAATTCATGTTTGTAGTTTCTATGTAGGTAGGGCAGTGTTATTATTTGTTTTATGTTTTTATTTCAAAATGATTCAAAAAATGTAGTTTTTATCTATGTTCATATAAGGAATACATAGTTTTTTGTATTAGTTGTGTTAAATATCATTTTAGATGTTCATTTTGTTATTCTAAGTAACCTAAAATATTCTTCACGTTTGAAAATTACATTTTTTATCAATGAACCGATAATACCGATTGATATTTTTGTTTTCTTAATTCTTATCCACAAGAATTGTTTTTTTATTCCTTGATGTTGTTTTGATATTATTCTCTTTTAATGCATTTTTTGTTGTGTTGTATTTATATGTAGTTGAATCAAAGAAAAGGAAGAGATTATCTCTTCCAAAAGATGCAAAAGACAATTTTGTTGATATTTTTTCTAAAAAAAGTCTTCATTAAGGTCTAATTCTTTGGTAGATATTTCATCTTCTTCCAAAGGAGCTTCATCGGTTAAACTTGTCAAAACTAAAAAAGTTGCCAAAGTTATTACAAGTATGGATGAAGATGATGATTTTGTTTCTACTCCTGTTGTTGGTCAATTAAATGTTAAGAATGCTGAAATTACATAGAGGAATCCTTTAGGTTTAATCTCTAATATATATAGAAGCCTTAGTGATAATCAGAAAGTTGTAGTTAAGGAAATAGGGTTTGGATTTCTTGAAGAATTTATCGTTAAAAAGTTTAGTGGGGAAATTTGTTCGTGGGTTCTTGAGAGATATGATGAAAAGAGAAATGTTATTCGTATCAAGAACAATAAGATTCATATTACTAGGAGAGGTGTTCATGACATGTATGGTCTTACTGTAACATAGGCCTTCACCACTTCAAATGGGTGATATTCCTATGAATTTACCTAAGAAAAGTCATTTTGGGATTGCTGTTATTAGAAACCGGCGGAATCAGTTTTCTATGACTAGGATTAGACTTGTTAATATCAGTGAATTTTTAGAAAAAAGTATTGATTGGGTTTTATGTTTAGATTGAACTTTTTGGTTGCATATGTTATCATCATGGTTGATGGTCCAAGTATGGGTACATGCAACCAAAAATTTTAGGAAAATTTTGAAGAAGAAATGTCCATTAAAGATCTTGATTGGTGTAGCTTTCTGGTTGCTTGTTTAAATCGGAGCAAAAAGTTGTTGAAATTTAAATCAAATGCAAAAGATATCAAGAGTCCTCAATATACTCAACATGTTGCATTTCTAGTGGTAAGTTTAAATTCTATGCATTTTTCAATTATCCTTTTAACTTAATTATTAATTATATATTTTTTTTTCATGTTATGTAGTTATTGTATCTTCATTGTACAAAGATATCTTTAGAATCATTGGATATAGTATATTCAGCCTCATCTTATTGGTCTCCAACAAAAGCTAAAGATAAATTGAAAGAAGCTTTTAGTAGTGGAGGTTATGAAAATGTTGAAGTTACAAAAACATATGAAGAATTTGTTGATGATGCAAAAGTTAAAGATTCAAAAACCTAAACAGGTTTATCTTTCTTTTTTTTCATTTTTATGAAATATTTAATTTTTATAATCTTATTTAATTGTTTTTTTAATACTTTAATTTTTATAAGAAGAACATATTACTCTTACTAATGTTATGAGAAAGAAAAATGCAAAAGGAAAAAATGAAACATAATGAAGAAAACATATCTCTTTCTATTGTTATGAAGAAAAAATGGATAAGAAAAAGATGAAAAAGAATATTCCTTTTAAAAAAAGAATAAAATTTCAAAGAAAAAATGTGACATTCAACAAGTTGAAGGTAAATTTTTATTTTTTTAGTTAAATTTTATGTTTATTTATCTTTATAATTTATAACAGTTTCTATTATTTTGGATCACTATGTTAAAGGAAAAAATATTGTTCAAAGAGAAAACAATTGAGAGTAAAGTTAGAGATGATGGTAAGTTTTTTTTTTTAATTGATTTTTGTTTTTATTGACCTTTATAATTTAAAACAATTGCTATTCTTTTGGATCATGCTGACAAAGGAAAAATAAATTGTTGAAGAAAACATAAATGAGAATCAAGTGTGAAATGATGGTAAGTTTTTTTTATATATTTTTTTAAAATTGATTTTTTTATGTTTATTGACTTTTATAATCTGAAACAATTCCTATGTTTGTGGCGAATGCTAATAAAGGAAAGAAATTTGTTCAAGATTACATAAATGATAATGAAATCAGAGATGATGGTAAGTTGCATTTTTTTAATAAGTTTTTTAATATCTAATTTGTAATTTTAATGTAATTGATTTTGATTAATTTGATAATGTCAATGAAGAATGGATGGATAGCGGTCCTTCTGTTCCTCGATTTTATATTATTGTTGATGGTTCAAAGTCTTTAGAGGTATATATGTTTTTGCAACATGGTTTTGAATCATAATCTGTTTTAATCATTTTTTAATCCTTTTTTGAATTTAATATTATTTTTCAGGATTTAAGGAGAAGACAGATTTTATGTTTAAAAGTTATAGTTGTTTGAAGCCTACCATTGATGATTGGATCAATCGTGCTAGGAATAATTTCCCAGGCAACCAATAGATTTTGAAGTGTGTTGCAAAACGTAATGTTGAATTTAACCAAGTTCATTAAAATCTTGTGTTATTTTCTGGTCCAAAAGTAAATCAACATGTTGAAGTTCCAAAAGAGATGTCAAATGTTGAAAAACAAAGTGAAGATGTTTAAGTTTCTGAGGAATTAAGAGATGTTCAACTTGATTAACTGTCAATGACATAATTCTTCGATCATCTTAGGGTTCAGAAACAGTTGGAGGTGTTAATGAAAACAAATGAAGCTTTGGAAGATGATAGTACTGAGCTAAATAAAATGTCAAACCATCCAATAATTTCATATCAGTTTCATGATCCTGATGCTATTATTTCAAACCCTTCAGGAAAGCCTTCTCCTGTTTTTTTTAGATAATGTTTTGGTTATTGGTGAATCTTCTACAAGCAATGTAGGTCAAATTGTTGGATTAAAAAATGTAGGGGTAATTGAAAAGTTGACTAAGGGCAATTTTTTGGATTCAGACATTGGTTTAGATAAAACTTTTAGAACTCCAAATGATCCAATTCCTCTTAATAGTTATGCAGAGAAGATTACAAAATCGAGTATTTTTTCTCCAATACCAATATAGTCTTATAACATCAACGCTAAGCCAAGTAGACCAAAAATAGATTTACAACATTCTCTAGCACTTTGTTCACCTTATCATAAAAAGGAAGTGGATACAACTATATGTGTTTCATGTTTGGAAGAAAGGGTTGCGGGTTCTCGGTTTTTAGCTATGCGTAATCCCAAGTATTTCCTTATTGATGTTTTTTTTAAATTAGTATATATTTTTTATAATATTAATTTTTTTAGGGAAAAGATTTGTGAATCTACCATTGGATCTGTTGGTATAAGATCTGCGATGGAGTCTCTCATACCGGATTGTAGGATTCACCAAGATGTAATTGATTTCTGGTCTGCTTTTCTAAATGATCTTGAGAAATTTAAAGGTAACACTACTCCTTTAAGGTTTTTCATGTCATGTTCACTTATGGTATGATCCATATTATTATGTTTTATTTTTTATTTATATTTTATATTTTCTAACTCTTTTCATTTTGTTAGTCAAATATTGTTTTCAAGAAGACGGATAGTATTAATGCACGATTAGTCGATAGAATTCGAAGTCATGTGGAAACGTTTTCCCGTGTTAAAAGTTTACGTGTTAATTTGGTAATTTAATTATTTATATTTCTATTTTATTAATTATTTATATTTCTATTTTGTTTTAAATTATATATATATATATATATATATATATATATATATATCGGTTTTTCTTGATAATTTGGTAATTATTTTTTTGTCGAATATTTACATTTTTATTTTGTTTTTAAACTTATAAAAAAAGCTTTTTATGTAGAAAACAATGTTAAAACAATATTTGACGATTACGGATCATCCTCGAGTCAATTCATTCAAAATAATGAAGATGGAAAGGTTTGAGATGGAGTGGCAGACCAAAAACAATGATGTTTACTGCGGGTTATTTCTCACGAGACACATGAAAGTATATCGTGGTGGTGGAGTGGAGAAGACTGATGCTGATATATTGCATGAGTGTACTAGTCAAAAGATGCAATTGGTGGACATGATGAAGAAATATGTTGGTAAGATTTTGTTGTCAGATTTGAATTTGTGCAAACCATCTTTTGTTACTACTTTAGAGGATTATGTTAAACTGATGGGCTATAAAAGGAAGAAGATTTACATTGAAGGTCATTTTCATGAACTTGAAGTGAGGGTTCAATCAACAGGTGTTCTTTGATCAGTGGTTTCTCGTTTTCAAACTATTTTAGTTATTTGTGATTTGCTAAGGAAGACTATATAAGTATCCTTGTTTCTTTTGTGTTTAGAATTCTTATGTATGTTTTTTTTGGATGATCACCAATATATGATAAACTATGATCCACTTATGCTATGATACTAAGGAAGACTATAAATATCCTTGTTTGTTTTGTGTTTAGAAGTTATATGTATGTTTTTTTTGTTTTGTTTTTTTAAGGATCACCATTATGTGGTAAAATATGATCTACTTGTGCTATGATACAAATGGTTGTTTATAATGTTTTTTATTCAAATTATTCACAAAAAAGACAAATATTTCTTAGTTAAAGAAAAATAAAATAGATAAATGTTATGTATTTTAGTATGTGGTCTAACAGGTTTTTAAACATTGTCCAAGTATAAAAGTGACAGGGTATCTAAGTTTAGTATGTGGCCCAATGAATTTTTAAGACAAATACTATTATATATGAATCCTTAATTCAAAATTATATATTTTTTTGAACCAAATTTTATTCATAGTTTAATGATGCAATTTTATTATTCCAAAATTTTCTTGTGATTTTATAAATTGAATTTCTTACATTATATAAAAATTCCATGTATACAGTCATGAACCAAATTTGTTACTATTCCACTAATATTTTTTAATTTTTAATAAATTTTATCTTAAGTGAGCTATTTTTTTTTTTGGATCAAAGTTTGTATATTTAAAAAATACAAATATAAATAAATTGTATATAATTTCTATAAATAAATTTTAAGTCTTATTAAAAACTTATAAATCTTATTTTGGATCAAATGTTTTGCATCAAAAATATATTTATATATAAGAATAAAAAAGAACTTACCATTTATAACATAATTTTAATTAAATTATCAAACAATTTTATTAAAAGCATTGATGCATAAATTGATGAACCAAAATTGTTTATTTTTATAAATCAAATTTCAAATCTTATTAAAAAATTATATTTTCGGATCAAAATTTTTGCATAAAAAATATAAAAATAGAAAGAATTAAAAACTTACCATTTAGAACACTATTTTACGTAAACATTCAAACAATCTTATTAACTACTTTATAACCCATATTTGTATCAAAGTGTTTTTATAAAAAATTTAAGGGTAAAATGATTCAAAAAGAACTTAATATTTAGAATAGAGTTTTATTTAAAACATCAAACAAATTTATTAATGAGTATATTGTTCTTTTGTTAAAAATATATCGAACAAAGTTAAAATCTATCAAACATTAGATCTCGCTTCTTCTGTTGCGAAGTTATGGCAATTACGTGCATCATGTTTTTCACTTGTCCCATTTTATGTATTTACCACATTTATGACATTTTCATCCATCCTTTTTTTTTTCAACAGCAATCTCCTTATTTCTCTTCATTCTTTTCTTCGTTGTTCGTCCACCTTTGTTATTGATTAATGTAGGAATAATATATTTATTTTCTCTTGTTGTTCAACTCCCATAAAAGTCTCACTAACTTATTTGTTATTCATTGATTTTGCATTTTTTGTTTCTTTGTCGATATTAGTCATCTTCTTATTCATCTCATCTCTGAACAAGATCAATTTGTCAAAATCATTATCCAACCTATACATGCAGAACTCCATTGCAAATTCTAATTCCCGTATAATAAATTGAATATCTTCTTTCTTTTTGCTTGTATGAACATTTGTTAGATTATAAGTATGCTTGTATCATGGTACCACATCTTTTGTCCATATCTTTGTCAAATATGCTTTTGGATAACTTTCCACACCTTCCATTCTTAAAACATAGAAACAATATCTGCATAAAATTCCCGTCAATTCAAATATAAAGCAAGAACAAAGAAGTTTTTTATCCGATTTAAAAAGTTTAACATGTAACTAACCATTAATGCAATAATCTCTTATTGAATATCAAAGAAAACATTTCTTGTGAAGATTTCAGCTGCTTCAACTTCAAGTTTCAATCCAATTTTAATATCCGATTTTGTGTATCTTGAATCATGATCATTTTTTCTTTGAATGCATAGTTGTCCTTCTAATGCAGTATCAAAATGAGTTGAAAATTCAATCAAATGAAAATCTGAGTTAGAGAGTAGCCCTTAAAAAATAATTTCCAGCTTCAGATCTTGATGTAGTCCTCATCGATCAAGATGAGTATTCTTTGAAATAAGCAGGAATCCATAGATCTCTCATTTTGTACATCCTGTTAAACTAGTTGTTTTCATTTAAGTGAAACTCATCCATTATGTTTTTCCATGTTGATTCAAAATCTTCTTTGAGTATTGTTTCATTTCAAATGAGATCGCTCAACTTTTTCAAAACATTTGTTTTTGCCCCATATATATATATATATATATATATATATATATATATATATATATATATATATATATATATATATATATATATATATATATATATATATATATAATTAAAAAATTTATATTAAATTAAAAAAACATTTTATAATTATGTACTAACCTTGTGAGTAAATTTTTTAATATGTGCCACATACACAATCTATGTCTTGCACTCTTGAATACCGTCGGTACCGCTTGCAAAATTGCAGTGTCTTGATTTATTACAATTACATTTGGCTCTTTGAGAAATGCTTTTTTGAAAGCATGTTGTAGCAATGAGTAAGATTCAATGCTTTCACTTGAAAGTAACCCGAATCCAAAAGTTATGTATCGTTTATGATTATCTATAACAGTAAATGGTACAAAAATCATCATAAATCTGTAAAACAAAGAAAGAAAAGTTATATTATTATGCAAATACCATCATATATCTTAGTAATGATGTAACTCATATTTGATATTTTAATATTATTAAATTATGCAACTCATATTTTTATTGATTCACATATAATTATTATTGTTGATAGATTAAAATTCATAATATTAATGATTCTAAATACAATGATTCAAAAACATAATTTAATAATTCATATACTAATGATTTAAATTTGCCCTAATTAAAGACAATCATTAAATGATTCAATAAAAAATAATTAATATTCAAAATTTAGAAAATGATTCAAAATTATAAATACATTAAACATTCACTTACTTTTTGAATCTTTTATTTTAAAATTTAGATTCAAAAATAATTTGATTCTTATTTTTTTTATAGAAATTTAAAATATAATTCTTATTTTACTATTGATTCAAATATTAATCATACAAAATTGCTCTAATTAAAAATAATGATTCACTATTCTAATATATGTAAATACAATAATTCAAAAATATAAGTAAATTATATAGTCACTTACTTGTTTTTTTCGGTAAGTTGCATCAAAAGAGACAACATCTCCAAATGCAAAATAGTTTCGTTTTGCTTCTTCCTCTGCCTAAAACAATCCAGTCAATTCTTCATTACTTCCAACACTACAGTCAAACGAAAAAATTTGTAAATAATCTTTTTTTCTTCATCAACTTGTTTATCACAAAATCTGCATCTCTTTCTCCAATAAATTCAATCTAATCCCTTTTGAAATTTTTTGTATTTATTCGTGTAGCTCTAGCATTCTCAAAACCACCTTGGACTCTTTTATGTATTTATATGCAGTACTTGGTCCCATGTTTACATTTGACATATCATATATCATTTTCTTTTGTGAAAATGTGAGTCTTCTTTCAGAATTTATAAAACTTTTGTTTTCTTCATGAAAAATATGTGTGTGTGTGTGTTCTTCTTTAAGCTCATATATTTGTCATACTTTATCCTTATTGACCTTCATTCTCACATATACTTCATAGTTTACTCTAATAGAAGGTCGTATGTGTTTTTTGTTGTTTGGATCATCTAGAGTATCATATGCAACTTTCTTTTTGGATCCTTGCCTATTGTATACTATGCATATTCTTCCATAACCTTATACTCCTTTTATTGTCTTTGTAGATGCTATTCTTATTTCAAACCCACTTTTCCAAGCATATTCTTTATAAAATGCTAAAACATCTTCAAATTTTGGAAAAGTTTGTCCCTTATAAGGTCTGATATCTACATCTGGAGTCTAGTAAGTTTATCCATCAGTTATACTCACAATTTGATCACGTTTAGAAGATGATGAAGATGCAACATTTCCTGATGAAGATCCAATATTTATTGTCATAGAACCATTTTTTTTATTCAAAAACATTGTATCATAATATACGATGTAAAAAAACAATATTTTTAATAATAAAGTTATCTTGATCATTACTTTCTGAATCTGTTGTTTTCTTGTTTCCACTTTCTGCATCATCAATATGCATTATAGATTCTATATTCACTGAATGTTGATCCACAATTGATGTTTATGTTATAAGCTCATCAATTATTACATGTTTTTCACCTAAATATTAACATAGAAACTGATATTAACATGTTTCTTATATATCACATTGTTGATTGTTGATTAGCGTCTAGTATTACTTCAATTTCGATATCAATCAAAATATTATCAATAAAAAAATTGAAAACAGATGTTTTTCATACACTAGTTTCAATGATTTTAAATGTTTTTATGAATAAAAATTCGATTTTTAACCTAATCCTAAAACAGAGCTCTATATGAACAAATTTTGTTATAAATCATGTTTTTTCATTCGTAATACCAATGAATATAGATTCAAATCGAAGTTTTGAACATAAATTAGAGTTAAACCTGTCAATTTCATAAATGATATTTCATTAAAGTCGTAACTGATTTTTCGTGATTTGATACAGAGCATGACAATCAACATTAAAGTATCCTTTTTGAGTTCTAATCTAACCAAAATTTTGAGTTATTTCAATTGAAATTGTAAATTTTTTTCAATTTTACTGATGATCGAAGCAAATTTCATTTTGTTTCAGTTTTCATCTAATTTTATTGATGATCGAAGCTAATTCTACATTTTTTGAAACATAAATTTATGATTAATAGTAAAAGATAAGTTTTTGATCTGAATCTAACCTGATTTCGTATGAAATGAATAGGATATTGAA